TGACCAAAAAAAGTTGGACAACAAAAAAAAAAAAAAAAAAACAAGCGTGGTGCCATTTCCATGCGCGGCACGTTATCCCTGGTGGCTACGACTCTCTCGACTCTCCCACGTGCACGCGTGCAACCTCGGCATAATTAGTGCGGGCAAAAAAAGCGCATTTAAAACAAACAAATTACGCTTTTTGTTTCATTAATTTTTAAAACGAGTAGAGAAAAAAAAGTGCAAGTAGTTTCCTCTCCTCTCGACTCGGGGGCCTCGGCTCCAGCGGACGCCTGCGAGGTAGGCAACGCGACTTCCCGACCGACTGCGAAGCGCTGCGGGTCTGCCTACCCGCCGGACCGCAGGGGCTCCAGCTGGAGAGCGAGAGGGTCACCACCCCAACGTCAAACCGCGCAGGGTTCGACTCGCGTTAAAATTCGCGCAGTAAAGGGGATATTTCTTCTATAACGATATAGAAAATAATAGAGAAAAACATGGGACTCACCAGTAGAAGGTCAGCCTGTCAGGTTGGGCTCCGCAGGGCACAGCGGGGCTCGCTCAGCTCGGCGGGGGAAGGGAAGCAGGCCATGCTGGGCGGGGCCGCTTCCTAAACATGGCTGTACACTCGCAGAAAACAGTATATAGAGCGACGATTAAGAATGAAAGGCGTTATAATGGGCTCAAAGCGATCTTGCCGACGCTTTCCTAGAAAAAGAACAAGATCAAGGCAAGTAGCAAACCGTCCTAGCTGGAAAAGAAAAAGTTAGAAACCAGCCGTGTGTGCCATGTGCCATCATAGGAAAATCCGTCTCCCCCTAGGGATACCGCTTTTCTTCCCATCTAAATTGTGAACAATACCGCAAAAACGGGTAGGGTAGGCCTATCCATTTAATCTTATTTTTGCTCTGTAGACGGTGAAAAGCGTTTACCCGAGGAGCTCCGAAGCGCCGAGCCGTGCGAGTGAAACTTAACAGGGGCCCCAGAGAATAAAGGAAACCCCACCCGCGACTTCAAAAGGACGAGCGCCTCGGCAGCGGCCACAGTGTGGGTACACTGCTCCAAGAACCAAATGAAACACTCCGACTATATTTGTACATTTCCTGAAAACGTGAGTTAAATCCATGTTTCGTTTTGGACAAATTTGTGCTCAAAAATGCGCGATTTCGTACAAATGAGTGCACAAAAGTATGTTGAGATTAACGCGGAAATTTGCGAAAAACAGTAGATTGCTTAACTTCGTACCAATGAAACGATACAAATCCAGTTAGTGTGAGACCATACTCGCAGAAAGAGACATGCCGCCAAGGAAAGAAACCTCATTTTCAAAGTTAAATCCGCCTGACTGACATGAGCCCGCAACAAATCGACGTATGACAAAACTTTTTGTGGAAAAAGTTTGGTGTGTAAAAGACAACTTTATTTGGGGGGGGGGGTGAAGGTGGATGGTGTACTCACCCGAGCTGTACGAGTCGTTGGAGGACGCCGAGAGGGACCGGCTGCGGTAGCGGCTCGACTTCTTCAGCGCTGCGGCCGACTTGCTCTCCTGCAACCAAAAGGCAGGGCGGGGGGCGTTCATTTCACGTGTGTTGCGCACGTGTGCCATTATACGACTCTCATGTTGTGCAGCACGGTGCAGGACGACGTGTTAGTGCGCACTTCAAAGTCTTTGCCAGTCGCACGCTTGACTGCGGAGACAAGGCCGTCGGGGTGGAGTGGAGTGAAGATGTACAAGAAGGGAACACAAAGCATCGCTATAATTGCTCTACACAAACAAGGGCTATACTTTCGGCATCCTTTGAATGGTGCACTACGGTAAATTGCTGAGGCTGCGCCGTTACGAAGATGTTAAATTCAGCACCTAGTGCCTTTTCCAAGGCACTACAGCATAAGCATACCAAGTAACCAAATAAGCGCACTTTTTCCTTTCTCCACTGCAACCAAACAAAATGTATAGGACGTTATCAAATTTAAGAATTGCGACTCCACGTGCCCAAAAGTTTTAATCATTTTCCAGAATTTTCATATGGGTTCATATGGGTTTATTAAACTGAAAGAAATAAAATGTCCTTGGGACAAGAGACGTGTTTCTGCCGCCTGTTTCCTTCGCCATTGCCGAGCTGAGGCTTCCCCAAGTTCAGGTTGCAGTTCAAGTCAAACGGCCATCTATAGAACCTGATGTACACGACAGCACAGAGCAGTACAACGTCCATGGCGTCAAATTATTTACATCTTATCGACTTTTCTGTTCTGCTTTGAGAGGGAGCCAGCTAGTGCAACTCATATGGGTCCTTTGCTTGGCTCCGCAAAAGGCAGTAAGCTGTCGGGACGAGTATTTGCACAAGAGCCGGCGGGTGGCGCCAAGGGCGGCGGCAGCAGCCCCCCCCCCCCACACACACACACAAACACGGCGGATGAGGAAAATACCCCACGCGAGCGCGTCCAGAGTCTCTGCAGCACGGCGCAGACACCCCGTTTCCCGTTATCTAGCTCGCAGCTCGCAGCGCTTGGGATAGGAGTTCCTTAACCATTTTACTGTCATCTAAGACATTCAGAGTAAGGGTGCGCGTAACAGAGAACTTTGTACTGTTGAAACCAGCTCAATGCCGACGATTGCCGACGAAAATTTGGCCGGCCGCATTGCCCGCAGAGGCCGCAAATAAGTTTGAAAACAAAGACGTCTAGTGCCAAAGAAAATGCAGCGCAGCTAACAGCGGTGAACAAAGCGAGCAGTCAGTGCAAATAGACAAGTAGAAAACACAGCAAATATTACATTGGAAAAGTAAAGGTATAGGAATGAAAACCCTGTTTCAGGGTGTTGATGGCTTCAGTGAGTGCCTTTACAAGGGCACGAAAAAGATTTGCACCCCTGGAAAGGCATGAAAAAGCCCCAAAGGCACCTCACCTAGTCCAACCCTTTGGTTTTTCAGTGCGTAAGAGCCCAAGTAAACACGCCACGCAACGCCTCCAGGAACACCCTCGTACACCTCCATTTCAACAAATCGGGCTCGGGATCCATTCAATGAAACAGCTGCAGCACCACCGCGGTAGCAACAGAAAAGTAGACGGAATAATTCGAATTAATTAGTAAGTTATCCCCCCCCCCCCCCCGGTCGCTGCATTTGCTTTGTGGCTGTGAGGCTGTGGCGGGCTGTATCATCGCTATCATGTCACCTCACCTCGCTCACGGGGCCATAAACAGCTAAACAGCGCAGCGCAGCGCATTGCAACACTTCACGCTATTGGCTCCACCACGCCCCGCCACGCCCCGCCACGCTCCGCCAGTCCTGCGGCTGCCACTGTTTCGTTCATAACGCCGCCGTCGTCCATGTCTCCGCGGGCTGTCCTGACGGTCCTGGCGGTCTCTCTCGCTCCCCAAGCCGTCGGCTGTCCTGACGACCGTCCAGACGGCTGTCCTGGCGGCTGTCCTGACGGTTATCTTGACGGTTTTCCTGGCGGTTTTCCTGACGGCTGTCCTGACGGCTGTCCTGACGGCTGTCCTGACGGCTGTACTCACGGCTGTACTCACGGCTGTACTCACGGCTGTACTCACGGCTGTACTCACGGCTGTACTCACGGCTGTACTCACGGCCTCCCTAGACGTCGTCCGCCGCTGCCCACCACACGAAGAGGTAGGAGAGGTCGGAAAGACCTACACAAGATCGAACCACTGCCCCAAACCAATAATTGGTGTCCGTGCATAGAAAAATTCAGACGGGACTGTTCTTGGCCTTATATTTTATAATTTTCATGTATTAATGTAACAGACAGTCTGCCAGCCCACAGACGCGGTTTTATGGGCGAGGGGCGAAGGGGCGATCCCCCGTCGGCCCAAATCGCCCCCTAGTCAGCTCTTAGGAGGCCGCCCGGTAAATCTGACAAACAAAACCCATGAAAATAGGCAATTCACAGTGGATAGTCCCCTCCGTCGGCCGGACATGCAACCCCGCCGCCTGCTCCAGTGTAAAGGCGCGAGAGGCCCCCGCGGCCGTCACGAGGCACCGCGTACCGCGTGGCGCACCAAAGGGGCCCGTCATCCATTGCCTCCCACTTCCCGTCGCGCCCAGCCAAGCAGCGCGCGGGATCCCGGGAGGCAAACGGGAGAAGATGGTGAAAAAAAAGAAAAACCGATATCAAGGGAAAAAGGGGGGGGGGCTCCTAGAGCATAATAAATAAAAAACCGTCGCGTGCTTACGAAATGCATTGGGCCAGGGCAGGAGTGGCGGCGCTGTCTGCTCCGTCACCGCCACGGCGGAGAAGTGTGTGTTTTCCTTGGACAGCCTCTAGCGACGCGCAGTTGGCGCTGAGACGGCCGACAGCGGGAATCCGGTCCCGTCCCCTTTCAGGTTCCCTTTCAGCCCCCCCCCCCTCCCTCTCTCTCTCTCTCTCTCTCATCCGGTCGCGTGGCTGGTGACAGCAGCGGGCGTGGAGAAGGCCTCGCGATAACCACGCCGTCTGACTGTTCGAAT